ATATATATATACATGGTTGGGTTCACGTGAGACCAAAGGTTTTTCGTGAGACCCGTAAGACCAATTTATGCTCATTGATCAACTTTATAAGCTAATGATCTAAAGTTGCACGGTGACAATTTTGTGATTATGAATGTTCAGATTGTAGATTTAATTCAATAGTTGAGAATTGGTTTTACGAGTTTCATGAAAAACCTTTGGTCTCACATCATCCCAAGTTTTTCTCTCTATATATAAATAATTGTATATTTATACGTGTATATAGATTCCATCATTGAAAGCATTAACTGATACGACTTAGTTGATCTCAAGCTTAATGTTGTTAAATTAATTAAAAGTCGAAGATGACTTGCAATTAATGAATGGAGTAAAATGTGTTGAAGTTGGAGTAGGGATGTAAACGACACGAGATAACTCGTGAGCTACTCGAGATCGACTCGGTCAAAGCTTGGTCAACACTCGGCTCGAATAGGCCAGGCTCGAACTCGAGCTCGACTCACATATTAACGAGTCGAGTCAAGGTACCCAATACTCGACTCAAAAAGCTCGTGAGATACTCGATTATTTTATATATAATTGGTTTTAAAATATAATAAGTTTTTATGATAAAATTTGTAAAATATAAATAATAAAAATATCTTATATTTTTAGATATTTAAACAAAATTTTGCATTTTTTAATTAATGATAAAAATTAATCAATTATTTTTTTTATTAAAATCACAAATAAAAAAAGACAAAGACAAACTATAAAAAGAGTTGGTGAAATTATCTCACATCGGAAAAGAGATGGTAAATGAAGAGATAAACGATGTCATAAAAAAGGAGGGAGATGAATGAAATTCTCTAACTTTATCTTTTTGATGATGAAGTTTGAAGTTGATCCATTTAGTTTTATAAAAACTAAGAAAACACCTTTTAAAATTTATAAGAGAAAAACCTTGAAATTTTCATAAATTTCAATGAGTGAGCTATGCTTGAGTTTGATTTGAGTTGCAGTTTGAGCTTGTTTCGAGCTTGAAAAATAGTTATTGAGTTCAAGTTGAGATCTGATTTTTACTATTCGCGAGTTTTCGAGTCGAGTTCGAGCTTGGTAATTGGGTTTCAAGTTCGAGTCGAGTATAGTGATACCCGAACTCGACTCGCATCATTTACACCTCTAAGTTGGAGTGTAGATCAAAGCAACATATCAAGTTATATATACATACACACACACACACACACATATATATAAAATGAAAAGCAAGTCATTTGTACAAAATGTGAAAACCATCGATTTCATGAAATTGTTTAATATGATGAAATTATTTCAAATAAATTCATTTCTTGATGAAATTTTTTCATATATGTTTGTTTCTATGTATATATAAAATTGTTTCATATATTTCTCATTTTGATGGAATCTCTTTCTTCACTGCCGTCGTCTGTGAAGCGATCTCATGAATTTGATCGATCTACGACATCATGTCTTGTAAATCACTCAAACCCTCTATCGACCAAAGAAACTCGAAACCATGAAAACCGATTCTTAATGGCGACAGATTCATAAACGACGGCGATAATACCACCCAAGGGTGCGTCTCGCGGATCCATAAACTCGTCTGGTGGTTTCACATATGAAATGTTATTATCAATTGTTTAGAAAATCAATATATTGTTTCATAAGTGAAATAACACTAGTGTAAAACAAAGGTAACAAACGTATTATTGTTTCATATGCAAAATCCAAATAATTGGTTTGGTTAATATGGGAAACATAAATATTCATATGAGAAACAAAACGGTTGCAACGAAGATGGTTGGAGAAAGGGTGATGCAATCGGTAACCTTTATATTTGAGCTCTCAATTTCTTCTTCACTCATAGACTTAATCGAACACCAGATCTGTAAGTCATCAATTACTTCTTCTGCTTTCTTTTCTTTGATTGTTCTAAAATGTTTGTTCATTATAATTTCTAAGCTACTCTTAATCTTTACCGACGTTTAACACAGCCTTTTCAGTGACGATGGCTACTACATCCGCTCAACGACATCGATGGACGTATGATGTCTTTGTAAGCTTTAGAGGTGAAGATATCCGTAAAAGCTTTATGGACCATCTCTTTAAGGATTTTGGACAAAAGGGAATTCATGCGTTTAGAGATGATAAGGATCTCAACTTAGGTGAAAAGATATCTCCTAATCTCGATAAAGTCATTGAAGAATCGAGATTTTTGATAGTTATCTTCTCGAAAAATTATGCATCTTCATCATGGTGTTTGAGGGAACTTGTAAAAATCCTCAAGTGCATGGAGACAGGAGAGCACAAACATGAGGTTCGAATAATCTTTTTCGACGTGAAGCCTGATGCGGTGAGGAAACAGACTAGGAGCTTTGCAGAAGCGTTTGCCAAACATGAAATTTCAAATAGAACAGAGGTTGCTAAATGGAAAGAAGCTTTATTCATGGCTGCCAACTTATCTGGATGGGATCTCCAAGACATGGCAAATGGGTAAGTAGGTGCTCTTCTCCCAAACCAATTAATCTGGTAGCTTTATTAAAACTAATTCTATTAATTCAGCGTTCTTTCTGGTCGACAGGTTTGAGTCCAAATTCATTGATAGCATATCCAAAGAAATCCTCAAAGCATTATGTCATGAACCTTTGCATGTTGGCGAGAACCTTGTAGGAGTGGATGCTTGTGTAAATGAAATGAACTTGTTGCGGTTTGTTGGGTCAGGTAACGTGCACATGATAGGGATTTGTGGTATTAGCGGAATAGGAAAGACAACCCTTGCCAAAGCTATTTATAACTCGATGAGTATCCACTTTGAGGAATGTAGCTTTTGTGAAGATGTCCAAGAAGTGGCAAAACAACAAGGTCTAACTCAAGTCCAAATGCAACTAATTGGTAAAATCATGAAAACAAGAGTTGTAGAGATATCAAGTGTTAGTGAAGGAATTATGGTCATAAAGGAGAGGATGCCAACAAAGCCGATCCTACTTGTTCTAGATGATGTGGATCACCGCGATCAGTTAGAAGCACTCGCCGGTTCACCTAATTGGTTTTTTCCAGGAAGTTTTATTATTTTCACAGGTGAAGACAAACAATTGTTATGGTCTCATAAAGTGGATGAAATTTATGAAATGCCAACTTTACCTGATTATAAAGCTTTGGAGCTTTTCAGTATGTATGCTTTTGGCCAACACCATCCTATAAAGGATTTCGAGGGGCTCTCTTACCAAGTTGTGAAGTGTTTGCAAGGGCACCCTTTGGCTCTTAAAGTTTTGGGTTGTTGTTTGTATGACAAGCCTAGATGTGTATGGCTAAGCGAAGTGGATAGACTCCAAAAATATCCTAATACGGAGATACAACAAAAGCTTCAACCAAGTTTCGATGGGCTAGACTACAGCCAAAAAAGAATCTTTCTTGACATCGCATGCTCATTCATAGGGGAAAATAAAGATTTTACGGCTAGTGTACTAGACAATGCTGATTGTTTTGTATATGCTGACATGGAAGTTCTAGTTAATAAGTCGCTAATTACAATATCCTGATGGGAGAATTCACTTCAAATGCATGAGTTGATTCGAAGCATGGCAAGGAGGATTACACATGAAGAATTTGTTGTAAAGGAAGTCGGGAGTACACTATGGAATTTATCAGAGGTTTGTAATGTATTGAACAGAAATAAGGTAAGAATTGGCATATGGTTCTTTTTGCTACATAATTTCATATGTTACTCTTTTCCATATAAGGTATATGTTTTCATAATAATTACAATCTGATAGGCAATAGAAGCAGTAGAAGTTCTCGCCCTTTTTCTAGAGGAATCTACACAGAACGTTCACATAGAAGGTGATGCCTTTGAAGATATGAAAAATCTACGTATACTAAAAATTTGTGATACGGAACTCGGAAACCTTTGCCATCCATTTAAATTAAAGCTATGGAAGGAGTCTAAGGTGAATTATTCTGGAAGGTTGAAATCTTTATCAAATAAGCTAAGGTTACTATATTGGCATGGATGCCCTTTCGAGTTCCCTTCAAGTTTTTATCCAGAAAACATTGTGGCCATTGACTTGTCTTACAGCTACTTAAGAACTCTTTGGACAACATCTATGGTACTTACTTGTTCCTGCATTTTTTTTCTTTCTTTAACACCTCATGATCTAAGCACTAACTTTTTTGTCTTTGATGTTAGTGTTTTGGAAGGTTGAAAGTCATGAATCTAAGGCATTGTCGTAACCTAACAAGTACCCCCGATTTCACTGGGATTACAAATCTCAAAGAGCTAATTCTTGAAGGCTGTGTGAATTTGGTTAAAGTCCATCCGTCTTTTGGAATTCTCAAGAGGCTTGTTGTTCTAAATATGAGAGGTTGCAAACGTTTTAGGAGATTCCCCTGCAAAGTCGAAATGGATTCTCTTGAAGTAATGAATCTCTCTGGTTGCTCAAAAGTGCACAAACTTCCTGAATTCTTTCGCACAATCCAGATTTTAAGGGAGGTTTGTGTTGATGGAACCTCCATAATGGAGCTTCCTTCTTTTATATTCTCTCAATGCAACCTTCAAGTATTGAAATTTGGCCGGCTTGAAGAAAACCGATCTAGATGGTGGACTTCAATTTCTCAACCTTCATGGTTACCAAGTAAGATGCAACATCCCCAACGTCCGGTAATGACTTCATTAGCAGGTTTACGTTTCTTACAAGAATTAGATCTTAGCTATTGCAATATATTGGAAGTGTCTGATAGCATTGGAGGCTTATCATGTCTAGAATCTCTATATCTTAGCCACAACAATATAATGGAAGTGTCTGATAGCATTGGACGCTTATCATGTTTACAAATTCTGTCCTTGGATGGGAACAACTTTACTAACCTTCCAAGTGGATGTTTGAGTCAACTTTCTCGTCTTCAATTTCTTGGACTTTCTGATTGCAAGGAGCTGGAAGTGTTGCCGGAACTTCCACCTAACCTTTTGAGTCTTGATGCAAGGGATTGCACCTCCTTACAGGGACCACCCAGTTATAATAATCACTTATCCTTGTCCACGCATTTTAACGGTTGTCGAAAATTGTTTAGGAATCTTAGCATTGAAAGGCAGGTTTGTATGTCGCAGCCTCAACCTTATCTCAACTCATCTATAACCTCCCATTCTTGTAGAAACCGGTTTTCTTCTTTGATTCAATACATGAAGTTCCCGAGTAACACGTGTGAAATCTTCAAGGCACAAGAAACACATGACATTGGTCGTGACACTATCAATATGGTATATCATGGAAATAGTATTCCCCAATGGTTTACAAATCAAAGTATGGGAAATAGTGTAAAAGTCGAACTGCCTCCAGATTGGTGCTACAATAAGTTTAGGGGATATGGAATCTGCGTTGTTTTCACACCCAAGAAGTCTTATGGGAGTAAAGATTACTACTATACACCAAAGTATTATGTGAACAACTTTGATGGGAGTTCTTTGGTTGAACGTTATCCTTATATCTATGATTGCATTGGAATCCCTAAATCAGATATCATATGGTTTCGTTTTACAATAAACGGAAGTCAGAAATGGATGAAAGCAAACAATTTTGTTACTTTTTCATTTGAAGACAATGATGATTTTGAGGTGAAAGAGTGTGGCATAAGACTTGTTTTTGATGAAGATATACAAGGAGACGAAACGAATTTAAGTATCACTCGGGACCTCCCAACTCCAACACAAGATGGAGGTGACATCCACTTATGGAGGAATGCTCGATATACTTGTTGGTCATGGTAGGTAGTCCAATTAAAATAGTTGTATTGTAGTAATCTATACGTCAAAGCCTAGATGTATTTATTCTATTATATTTTGTGGTTTTTCCCTCATAATTTGTATTTTGTAATCTGTATCATACCTTTATATATGCCATATTGTAAAGCGTTTAGGTCATACTCTTAAATACAACTTTTTATACATAAGGTACCATTAATCGATGCAAATTACTTACAATTCAAGATTACAAATTATAAAGGCTCTGGTACAAAGCATATTGCAGGATAAACCAAAAAAACTCAACCTATTCCAATCTAATCCTAACCAACATCCCTAGAATCTCTTGTGTATAGCAGATGAACGTGCACACCCTGATCACAACCACGCATAAATTGATAACCGTTCTCCAAAACCTTAGCATGGTGATTCCCGCTTCTCTTCTCCTTTCTCATAACAGGAATGTGCATCTGCTGGCCGTATTCCTCTGTCTGTTGTTGTCCCTCCTTGCGTCAGTGCCATTCGGAGCATGTAATATAAAAAGCCAAAGATGGGATGGTACCTGGTTCTTCTAACGATGGTACGATTTGTATCCTCCTTAGCTCCAATATGGTTGTTTTGATCCAACTTTTTTACCATTTTTTCACCATGCAACCTCATGTTTTTGATGAATCTTGTGATTTTTTTTTCTCTTTCTGATTGTTCCCGGTGGTACACCATTTGTTCGATCAAAAAACCATTAGAATTCGGTTTCTTGTTAAGAAATTGTTGTTTGATTTTTTCATATTACGCTTTATTTTATAATAATTATGTTTGTTTTTTATTAAATGGGTCTTATTGGGAATACGTAGAACTTGGATTTTTATTAGGGTTTTCAATTAACGAAGCATATGAGTTATTTTTAATGTTGTTGTTAGCCTGATCAACTACCATCTGATTTATTGATCTTAATTTATCTTTGAGAAAAGTGATTTGAGATTCGATTTGTAATTTGTATGCGTACGGTGAGCATTTGGTTAGAGATTTAACAATTAAACTCTAATACTACTAACAATCTTGGTTAAATTAATATGATTTAGTTTATATTAATTAATAAATCGTTAATCCATCAGTAATTTAATCAAATTATTTTTTATTTTTTTAATTTGAAAAATCATCAACGGATTGTTTCATCAGTAATCATTTTTAATTTTTTTTTAATTTGAGAAATCATACACGAAATATATTTTACTTTAATTAAAATAAATTAATCAGCAATCTCTTTTAACTCCTTTTATATATTTTTTAATTTGAAAAATTACTGATAGAATATTTTTTATTTTTAATTAAAATAAACTTTATCAATAATCTTTTTCGAATGTAAATATTTTTTTGGTTTAGTTGTTTCATTTATTAGATGTAAGTACTTTTTTAGTTCATAAAATGTTTAATAATCATTCAAAATATGAATGTGCATACTTTTTCCATTATTTTACTATATTAGCCAATTGTATAAGTCATAAAAATGTATCTAAAAGATTTAGAAAGTCCAAAAAGTTACTTGACAGGTGTTGAAATATCCAAAGACTTATTTATTACAAAAAAAATTGTCCAATGAGTTAATCAATCCAAACATTAAAATTCATTGAATATTTTAGACTTTTCCCTAGTTTTATCTAAAACTGTCACTACTTTTACACATAAAACTATATATTTTCTTGTCACTTAAATGAGATTATATTTCTTCGACCACTAGATGTGAAAGTCAGTGTTCAATTTACGAAAAATCAAACACACCGATAATTTTAGGTGAACTGGTGGGCCAAACATTACCAAACCAGTGACTTGTTAATTGAAATCAACTCCTTTTATATAAACTAGTTTGCTAACCGCGCGTTGCGCGGTAGCGATAATATCATCTTCAAAATGAATGTTATAGACTAAATTTGAAGTACTCTTCTAAAAAGTTTTAGACAAATGTGAGTACATTAAAAGTTTTTAAGAGGATTTGACAACAATCTTAGAACCATATGCTAATTTAAGTTATCTAACTATGCTTGAGAATCATGTTGCAAAGTTTTCTACAAATGTTTGACTAATGTTAGTAGTTTGTCTAATTAGAAGTCACAGTTTTAATTGAAATCTTATCTAAGGTGACAAAATCACGATTTTAATTTTATAACAAATTTAATTGAAATCTCATTTTTGAAGTTATGAAAAAGAAACGTTCTATAATATTTCTAGTAAAAATTAGAGGAGTGCGTAAGTTGTAACAACAATAGTGGAAGTCCAATACGATGCATGAAGAATCACATCATCAAGCTAAGATAATGGATTTTCTCTCATAAAAAATAAAATTAATATCAAGTGGGGTCGATGACCCACATATCAGATATTAAACTGACAAAAATATTACACTTTATCGTAACATTCTATAATATTTGAATTGTAATTAGAGAGGTGTGTCAAATCATGATAGTATTAACATCAAGACGACAGATAAATAACTATCTCGTGTTGTCAAATTATCATCATTGGTTTCACTTTTATATTTGCACTATAATTTTTACCATTTAGTTGGTTTTGATTCCAAACATGATATAAATTTAGTTGGTTTTGATTCCAAACATGATATAGATTTCAAAGACAGTCATCCATCTTTCTTATACACTTTACTTTGTTCAAACTTTTTAACTCTTCATCAATGTGGGACAACTAAAACTCAACAATAATTCACAATTTGGTTTGATTGGTTTCTAACCATGGTTATATATATATATATATATATATATATATATAGAGAGAGAGAGAGAGGGAGAGAGAGAGAGAGAGAGAGAGGCTTGAAATCATGTGAGACCAATAGTTTTTCGTGAGACCGTAAGACCAATTCTCAATCCTTGGATTAGATATACAATCGTCAGATTTGAACATTTATAAACGCCACGAGACTTTTCAATAATTACAAAATTGCCACCATACAACTTTAGACCATTAGATCATATGCTTATAAAGTTGATCAATGAACATAAATTAGTCTTACGGGTCTCACGAAAAACCCTTGGTCTCACGTGAACCCAACCCTATATATATATATATATATATATATATAGATATAATAATATAATCTAATTTATACCATTTGGTTTGATTGGTTTCCAACCATGGTTATAGATTTTAAAAAGGTCATCCAAAGAAAGACAACTCTGTGAGGCAAACCTCATATTTGACTCAAAGACATCCAATTCACATTTCTTATACACTTCATTTTGTTCAAAATTTTCAACTCTTCACCAATGTGGGGATGTCTCAAACTCAACCACAATTCACCAACATCTCAATACTCAATTCTCATGATGTCACTTCAATACTCTTGGTTCTTTCTTTAATATATACATATATATATAATATATAGTATATATGTATATAAAGATATAAAAATATAATTAATTTTGCACTATAATTTCTACCATTTGGTTTGATTGGTTTCCAACTATGGTTATAGATTTCAAAAAAGTCATCCAAAGAAAGACAACCCTATGAGGCAAACCTCATATTTGACACAAAGGCATCCAATTCATCTTTCTTATACACTTCATTTTGTTCAAAATTTTCAACTCTTCACTAATGTGGGATATCTCAAACTCAACCACAATTCACCAATACCTCAATACTCAATTCTCATGATGCCACCTCAATACTCTTGGTTCTTCCTTTAATATATATATATATATATAGATTTGAGATTCATGTATCCACATACTATGTGTAGAAAATCATCTGATTTTATTAAAATCGACCAATTATAACCGGATTTCTAATTATAACTGGATAAGATGATTGGGGATTCTATAATTCCAACATCCAAACTGTATCTATCGATTATTAAGGGTGTGTTTGGTACACTGGACATGACAGGACAGAGATCTTTGTCTAATGTTTGGCATGATTTTTATGTGGAACAGGGTGGAACAAATTGGAACAGGGTGGAACAAGGTGAAACAGACTTATATTTTACCAATATAATCTCAAAATAAAACTAAATTCTCTTTTAAAACATCAAATAGATCTATTTTTTTACATTTTATTCATTCTTTAAATTTTATTTATTGTATTTTATGTTTTTTAAACTTTCATTTTACTGTCCTCAAAATATTATTTTTATATTTTTGTTAATTTATGTAATTTATTATGCATTAATAATAAAAAATAATGTTGACAAGAGATAAAAATAAAATTGGAAGCTACATAAACTTTTTATTTAGTGTCATTTTAATTGTTTTGACGAAAACTTCAAATGATATATTTTGTTATAAAAATTATTTATTCTATTATAATTTAATAAATTACATAAATTAATTAAAATAAACAACTCATTAGGGATAAATTGATCATTTTACTTGTTTTGTTCTGTCCTTAAATGACATTTCAAAATCCAATAAAACCAAACAGATTCAATCCAATGACCATTATATAATCAACAATATTTTACTATATTATTTTTATTTGATATTCAATAATCGGGGGTCAAAATATTGGATGAATACAATCTGATTCGATAAATAATCTATAATAATATCAAACAGATGGAACCTGTCCATCAAATCATCCATTAGATCAGATTAATGGATCATTTTATCCAATGTTAAATAGATTGGATCGGATGACAAAATCCAATATCTATAACAGTAAATTGGATCATCTATCCATCTATATTAATTTAATTTCAACCGATGAACACCCTAAATACAGTCATTCATCACATACAGGAAGGGATAGTGTTTTGTGAACGAATATTTTTATAAGACTTTTTTATTATATATTTATAGAAAAATACATTAATATTTCCAAGTCTGTGTGTATATGAATGATGCAGAAAATCCAGGTACATTAACCATAAGGGTGGTGCCTGATTGGTTTGAGCTTGAATCCAAAGGTCAAAAGTACCTGGAGGTCTCAGGTTCAAATCCAAGATGAAATAAAAATCCCCTTGTGGCCACGGAGGTTCAAATACGGTGACTCCGGACTATCTGCAAAGCATGTGATTACTCTGGGATTAATCGGTTCGCATAGCGAATTAGATATTTAGGTTAATAAAAAAATTCAGGTACATTAAATAATTTAGATGAATTTGCTTTGCAATTTTAATGATTATTTTATTTAAGTTTATATTATAAAATTAAATTCAAACGACGTACATAATACTTAATATTCGTTTCAAATGGAAGCATCATGGAAAAAATGTAGCTATTTCCAATTTTCATTAAATAAAATAAAAATTATTTATTTATTTTTTAATTTTATAAATTATTAAATTTGTTATTATTTTAATTAGATAACAACTTCTATTAATTACATTGAAAGTATATTTAGATCTAATTTTCAAATCATTTTTTAATACTAGAAGGGTACCTGTGCAATGCAGCGAGCTACATCTCGATTTTAATGCTTCTTTTTATTTAGTCTCCATCGATGTTATAATACGATCTTATGGGATACTGAAAAACGATAATGTTTTTATTTTTTGAATAAAATATAAATTTGAAGGTATCATAATTTTTTTTTTAAAACGTATTAATCTTAGTATCAAATTAAATATTTAAAAATGCTTGTTTTCTTTTGAGTAATTTCTTTAATTTAATTTTTATTATAATTTAATTGAGATTTAATAACCAAGTGATTTATTTTTATTTCAATAATATAACTTTTATAAAAATAATAATTCTTATTTTGTTAGAATTCAATGATTATCCTAAATATATTTTAGATTTTTATATTTAAAATGAGATACATGTCCAATATTTGATTTTGATTATTGATTATGTTTATCTGCAGTTAGTTACACGAATTCAAACATGGAATTTTAATAATTTGTACATGCTTACAATTTACTTTGTAATCTTGAATTTTAAGTAATGTGCATCAATAAACAGTACTTAATGCATAAAAATGATTTTGAAAAGTTTGTCAAATGATTTATAATATAGTATAGATATTTATATGATTTATTGATAGGATATATTTATATAAATAGATCAATTTGCAATTTCTTTTAGTTTTGAAGGACTAAAAGTGTAACTTTCTCATACAGAGTTGACTTGGGGTCAACCCCCATCCATTCCATTCTATATAAGTTCTAATTAAATCCTTTTTCATTCATATCTTCTTCTCTTGTCGATCTCCATCTCACCAGCAGACTTCCATCACCAAATTAAATCGTAAGTTACGAATTTATTATATATATATATATATATATATATATATATACCACATATGAAACAAATTTATCAAAAAAAAGTATTATATGAAACAATTTCACAAGATTAACAATTTCATGAAAACATTTCATAAGATTAATGATTGATAAGAGTAGTTTTTATGGTTTTTACAAATTGGAGTGATTTTCATTTGATCGCTCATCTTTCTCTCTCTCTCTCTCTCTCTCTCTCTATATATATATATATATATATATATATATATATAAGGTTGGGTTCACGTGAGACCAATTTATGTTATCAACTTTATAAGCTAATGATCTAAAGTTGCACGATGACAATTTTGTGATTATTGAGAAGTTTCGTGGCAATTTTGTGATTATGAATGTTCAGATTGTAGATTTAATCCAAGGGTTGAGAATTGGTCTTACGCATCTCACGAAAAAGCATTTGGTTTCATATGATCCTAAGTCTATATATATATATATATAGAGAGTTTGTTTCAAATACAACACATTGCATTTGTACAACCAATGCAACCCAATATATTGAGATATTTATGAAAATAATGAGAGTTCATTTATTATGATTTGAATATTTATGGAAGATGAATATGGTTCATTAATTATGATGGATACTTTATATTAGGAAACAATAAAAACTTCTATGAAATCACATATTAATCAAATGAAATGGACGGTTGAGATTGGGTTGTATTGTTTGCATAAATGTCAAGGATTGTATAATAACCAACCTCTCTCTCTCTATATATATATATATTTTTTTTTTTTTTGAACGACCAATTTATTCAAAGCAGGGCCAGCCAGGGGCTAGACCAAAAAAAAAAGAAACAATTACACCATGTCCGGGTTACAAGACCACCTATTCCAATCTAACTTGCCATGATCCTTACTACGATTACAAAGCCAAGAGTATACATAAAACTGAATATCGTTAGCCGCACGGTAAGAATTGAAAGGTACACCTTTGAATATTTCAGCATTTCGACCCTTCGAAATTGTCCAACAATACGCAACAAGCAGCAACTCTTTGAAGTCTGGTTTGGATTTTGGTTTATGGGAGCCTAAGTTGTAAAAGACCTCACCCACCGATAAGCTCCCGTCCACATCAAAGGCACCATTGCACCATTTGTTGATAGCCTCCCTCACCACTCCTGTCTTCTTGCAACCCAAAAAAATGTGGTTAACATCTTCCGCTTCCTCTTTACAAAGAATACATTTATTGGTATCCACCGTAATACCTCTCTTGACAAGATTATCTAAAGTAGGCAATTTGTCCCGGCAAGTTCTCCAAATATGAATCTTAACCTTACTCGGAATGAGCTTGTTCCAACTTGTAGGATGGTTGTCCTTTCTAAGGTACTTTGAATCGATTAGAGCTCTCATCCTCGTAACCGAGAAGGCCCCCGTGTCATCCAGAGTGCAAATCCATTGGTCTTCCTTGTTGCTAAGATTCGTTTCATAACACATTTTTTCCAAATCCGAAACGTCCTGGACTTCACGAGTTCCTATTGGATTTCTGCTCCAGTCCCAATTGAAAGTGATGCCATCCATGATCTTCGTAAGTCTGTCCCCTACGTAACAATCTCCAGACTTGTCCATAGCAGCTAGGCGTGGAAATCTGTCCTTAAGAACCGTATTTCCACACCAAGTATCCGTCCAAAATTTGGTACTCTTTCCATCTCCAACGCCTTAGGAAGATATTATACAAATCAATATTGACGGAGTTGAATTGACAGTTCAAGTTGGCAATCCTTCCCCATACACCGCCCTCTTTGGCGATACCAAGTTTCCTGGACACTCCGTGAATGGCCGGGATCACCCCTTTCCAAAGCGAATTTTCTTCGTTTTTGAATCTCCACCACCATTTAGCAAGAAGAGCCATATTGAGGGTTTTAAGGCTCCCAATCTCGAGACCTCCATTGTCGAAGCTATTGAGAGTTTGATTCCAAGCCACCCAACAGATTTTGGCTAAATTATAAAGCATTTGGCTAAAACTCTTAAAACTCTTAAACTCGTTCATCTCTATCCGATTTCATCCCATATCTGATAAACACAATCAAATACATGATAAACATCTCATTTTAAATATAAAAAATCTAAAATATAATTAGGATAATCATTGAATTCTAACAGAATACTTAATTATTATCTTTATAAAATG